TCCATTCAGATGGTTGGATAAGGGGAGGTACATAAGTTTTATGTTGTAGGGAAGCATAGAAAACTTGCATTATCATGTGCAACAGTGAAAATAGGAACTTTTCAAGCTATAAACAAGTAAAACAAAAGTTGTGATAGAGACTAAACTAATTTTCCTTTGGCATTTTCAAGTAGGTACCAATCCATACTTGTGTTCGTGAATTGTGGCACACCAAAGCCGACACAACACATATTTAGACACATCTAGATGTGCATTCGAGGCTGAAAAGGTCTTTGAACATAATGGGGCTGGGGTCAGGGTGCTGGTATTATTATGCCCTAGTTGAATGTCACGGTCTTCATTCTTACTAACGCATTCAAAAAATTTGACTATTTTCAAAATAGATAGGGGCTAGTAATCCCCACTTATCTTCCCAAAAAAAAAGGAAAAAAAAAAAAGGCCTTTGAACTGGAATGGGCTTGGGTTGTGGTAGTAGTACCACCTGAGCCCAAGTTTCTCAGTAAAGGATTCAAAAATTGACTATTTCAAAAGCCGGTAGGGGCTCGTCATCTCCACCGACTTACCACAAAAAAAAAAAAAGCTTTGAAATTTCTAACATATCAAGTCTTCATACTCGGTAATAGGGTGGTAGTGCCACTTAAGCCTCAATTAATAGTTTTGACCTCCATCCTCACTAATGGATTTAAAAATTATATATAGACCATTTATTTTTTATACAAAGAGGTCACAATCATCATTGACATTTAGATTTGAAATAAGATAGTTGATGATGTATCATTATTTAGGAACGAATAAAATTTCTTGAATGTTGAGACACACTTTCATCAATTGGATTTCACATCAATTCAGGTGGTTGAGGATATATCATTGTTTGGGCATAAAGTTCAAAATAAAATTTCATTTATGTTATGATACACTTTCATCAATTGAATTTTACATTCAATGGCTAAAAGTGATTGTAATCTCTGTGTACAGAAATATTCACGCTCCGATCTGCAACGATATATGGGATAAGATCGACTTAAATCTTAGCCAAAACTGAGTTCCATTTGAAAAAGTAGATAGAGTGGGGTCACTTAAATTATGGGCTCTCAAAAATCCCATATTTATACAAATCTGGTCTTTTTTTAGTCCAATGGCAGCACCAGCTCCAAAGCCGTATTTTGACATAAAAAAGTAGTTCTTAATTTAATTAAATCTAATAATAAATTAATTTTCAGAAATAATAAAATAAAGCAGAAAATTAAATGAAGAAAAACAAATTAAATTAAGTAAAGAAAGATATACTTACTCATAAGGACCTGAAACTCGGAGTTTCGGGCTTGGATTAGGCTACTATTTCGATTTGTGCTACCATCTCATTTTTTGGATGCATTTTCTTACTGGAATTAGTAGATCTAAGGTTCTTTGACCTAGGTTCCTAAGGCATGGGGAAAAGCTACGAATTTAGGTAGGGTATATCTAGGCTTTTCTTAGGATTTTTTTGGGATTGAAGAAGAATTTCTCATAGTTTTCTAAGGGTTTTGGGATCTCCAAAGGTTGAATATGAGTTTTGAGATTTCTATGATTTTTGGGGATTCTTGAGGATTTTTTCTAATTTTTTAAGAATTTTTTAAAGGGTTTCCTATTTTTGGGTATTTTTGGGCTATTTTTCTAATTTTGAGAATTTTTAAGGGATTGTTTTATCTTTTTTCATGGTCTTTATTTTGGGTTATGGAGGGGAGTATTTATAAGATTCAATTGGTAGTTTTTTTTTATTTTTTTTAGAACTTGTTTTCGGTTGGATTTATCTTGAAGTTCTATCCGTATCTAATTAAAAAAAACGCCTTTACAGCATCATAAACCGCCTTTATTACATCATCTAATACTTTTATTGCATCATCAGGCCAACCTGCTGGGCCGCGTCACTGCCCGGCCCGTGGCGCGATACTTGGGTCTCACAGGGACTAAATTATCATTTGTTAGATCTTTTATCCGTAGGTCTGATTCAGGCGATTCTTGGACCGTTGAAAAGTTGTCGGCTCTACTTCAAGTTGGAATAGGTTTGGGAAGTTTTGGAGCAATATATTGGATCTAGGTTATCTATGATCTACTATGGTTTGTGTGGTCCTTGAGAATCAGAATCGAGATTTTTAGGAGTTCTGTTAGCCAGAATTTTGGGTGGGTGTCTAAAAGAAGATAAATGGTCTCATTATATACAATGCTCTCAATACACACATACACTTATATCTTTATTAATTTTTTTTTATTTCCTTTAATTTTGTTTCAGTTTTACAATTTTTATTTTATTTAAAAAAAATTATAGGGCATTTTTGCCCCTATACACTAATTGGACGAATCCACTAGGTTATGGCCAAGTTTCATGTCTGTAGCTAGGGCTGAGTTACAGGCACGAGGCAAGTTAAAAACCATTGATCACATTTATTGTTGGCCATTAAATTTGGAAATATGATTATTGGGGGTGGTGTGCTGTTGGCTCTGTTCAAAGTTTGAACGAACAAATCTTGAACATTACGGGACACCCCAAGCTTTAAGATTAGGGGCCCTGTCTATCCCATTGAGTATTTCATTAATCTAGCTCAATATTTTGGACAATTGATACCTAACTCCAATACACTGACCTTTTTGCCTAGGAAATTTTGGATAATTAATCACTAGCAAAATACAAATTTTTAGTAGAATTTATTAACTTAGGCGGGCAATGACATCACCCACAAAGTAAGTGAGATTATCGACAATGGGTATGATATCATCCATAGTTAATTTTTAATAACTAATTCAATGCCATTAGTTTTTTTTTAAAAAAATGAAGTTCTGATATGCAAAACCCTTATGATTGTATGATAATGCAAAATCCTATGGTCACTTAAAAACTTATTTCTACCTCTAGATGTCCGATCTTGATTGAATGGTTGAAAATGTATCTTGTCATTTAAATTTTAATATGTTTTATACAAATTAATTAAGACAAAGTCTTAGGTATACAAAAAAATAATAAAATAAATATTTTCTAAAACAAAAAATGACGAGGGTAATTTGGTTATTTCAAATTTGTAAATATCTTTTTCTTTTTTTTGTGGTGTTTGACGGTGTCAAGTATGTATGCACACAATTTTAGCTTAATCAGAGTTAAAAAAAATATATTCAAAACTCAAAGACTAAGATACATTTTCAACCATTTAATCAAATATCTCATGGTGGAGAGCATTATCTAAAGGGTGTGGTTTGTATAGAGCCAAGGGTCTAAACAATTAAATTAGAGCACACCTTCAAATAGTGTCGAGAAATGTGACTTCAATACCGAAAATCTCTGAGATAGCTTTAAAATATATTTTTATATCTAAGTATAAAATTTAGAGCTTCAAATATAGTGTAGATCGAGCAGATTTATAAAAACTTGAAAATATTAAAAATTGACGTTAAAAATATGCATTACAAGATACACTATTTCCAAAAGGTAAAACCTATTTTTTTTCTCATGATCAATTTGAAGATATTTGCGTATCAAAACGACCTCTTGTAGTGAAAATTTTAAGCTGGGCTCTAATTTGATTGTTTGGAGCCTGGGCTCTATATAAACTTCTCCTTTATCCAAAATGCTACCGGGACCTTTTTCCATTAGATGACAATGTACAATTTGAAATGAAAGGATCATTTCTTATCAAATGTTCAGACAATGTACAAATTGAAATGAAAGGATTATTTCTTATCAAATGCTGAAAGAAAAGGGTTATTACTCATTAAAAAAAGGGGTGCGGTTTGAATAGAGCCTAGGCTCTAAACAATCAAATTAGAACCCACCTTCAAATAGTATATAGAAATGTAGTTTCGATACTAGAAATCTTTGTGATACCTTTAAAATATATTTTTATTTTCTTATTGAAAAATAGTGTAGATCGAGCAGATCCATGAAAACTTGAAAATCTTGAAAATTGATGGTAAAAAAATGTGTTACAAGATGTATTATTTCCAAAACTTGAAATCCATTTATTCTCATGTCCATGCATCTTAATGTTGAGATGATAAAATTGAGGATATTTGGGCATCAAAACCACCTCTTCTAATGAAATTGTTTTGGTGGGGTCTAATTTGATTGTTTAGAGCCTCGGCTCTATATAAACTTTAAAACAAAAATATTGTCAACATATGGTGGGCGCCTTGTAGAATCCTCACCACACACTTTACTGGGTGAATGGTAAAGTAGTCCAAAGCACATGGCATGAGAAAAGAGAATGTAATCCATGGAGTATCTCTGATCACTGTCCTTCATATGTACAATGCCCATTGAGTGGTGGCAGTCTAAAGCGCCTTAGGCGTTCTATTTGTACATTGCACGGCTGCTGACGTACGAGTTACCGTCACGCACTACGCCAGAATGACCAATTATTAAGAGAGAGAGACTTCCCTGCACGCTGTGAAGAGAGAGGGAGAGAGAAACTTCCTGGTAGGTTATGGAAAGTGAAATAGAGGGTGCAGTTGTTGCGGAGACAGCGGATGGCCCGGCCCGCTAGGAGCGGCGCTAAATAGTAAGGCTTGGGCTGACTACCATGGCTCAAGGGACAGGTTAGGGCCATTTCCGGTTCGGCCTAGCCGAGACTGTTATTTTTTATTTTCTATTTTTTTTGGCTTCATGTATTTTGTAGCCAGCCGTACCCTCATACTGTCTAGCCAAGCCCGAGCTTTCTCTGTAGGGACAAGAACCGGGCCAACCCGTTGCCACCCCTAGTGGAGACATGGGGGGAGAAGGATAGAGACGAAAGTTTGTGTTTTGAAAATGAAGGAGCAAAAGGTGAATTTAACGCAAACGGTTTATGGAAAGCGTGGTGGCCCACTTTGTAGGGGAAGTGTCCGAGGGGTTCCCTTCGTTAGAGGGCAAGTCCACGTCCATGTCTTGTCCAGCCGACTAAAATATGGCCTCTTTCCCTTCCTTTCATCAACCATGCCTTATAAATATGCATTCCTTTCTCTCTCTCTACTCCATAGTCCATACCCCATACCACTCGATCTACCCCCCCCCCCCCTTTCTCTCTCTCTTTACTCCATATCCCATACCACTTGAACAAAAATATTCAGATACATATGGTAAGCTCTCTTTTTCTCTCTCTTAAACTTCATAGTAATATGCTTTGCTTCGCACTCTCTCCAACTAAACAAATCTTCATAGGTGTCATATGCTCCCTCCCTCCCTCCATCTCTGCTTCGTAGGTAGCACAACTAGTTAATTTGTGATGGAAAATTGTTTCATGCTGGCTGGACTGCATGACTACATATGCAGTCTAAAAAGTGTAAAGCATCCATCTTAAAGATGAATGCTAGTAGGTGTTCCATTTAAAAACAATGAAAACTAAGGGTCCAAATGTTTTTTTACTTTTTATTTTGTAAAATTTATTTATTTTTTCATGATCTCCATATTAAAGATTATATATCTTTAAAAATTAAGTCCAAAAATCCATCTCAAAAATAGACCGTATTTCTATATGTGCGGGCTTGGCCACATAAAAACCGGGTCCATTAGGAAACAAGTAGCTAGCAAACTCACACTTTCCTACTTGCATGTCATCCATCACTAAGCCTTATCCAAATATTGACAGACAGGCACTTTATTCAACTTTATTGTCTTTATTCATCGACGTATTATTATTATCGTGAGAGTTTTTTTCCAATTAATTGAGGTTGACTACACGAATCTTGATATGTATTCTGCTTTTGTAAAAATCATACCCGAAGTTAGAGGCCATTATCATCATCACCAATGCATATTTTTATGAATTCAAATGACAAATGTTTCTGACCTTCGTTTAGGAAATGCAAATGGAGGAAACAACATTGAGAAGTGAGAGATCAGAAGACATAGCATCATACAAGGATGCTGGCCTTGAATCAGCGAGTGGTTCTTCGAGGAAATCGGTGGAGTTGGATATGGCGACAATCTTGGGGAGAAAAGTTAGCATCAGTAGAAGGGGCGGCCTTCGATCCAAGTCGAGGAGTGCTCAAATTAGAGGCGATATAGATGAGGTGATCAATGGAGTAAATGGGAGCTCTATTGAAGATGTTGGGGCCACCGTTAGCAGAGCCTCGAGTGCGAGCTTGGGCCTCTCCTTCTGTCTCTCTGGAATTGCCATGCCTCCTGATAATATATTATCAGATATAGGGAGACTCAATAGAAGTGATTATGGTGAGAGAACATGAAACATCTTCAAATAGGCACACACCAGTTTTCGATTAGTCGGGCGAGCCAACCCTGACTTGCTCGAGTTTATCACGAGTTTGGTGGTCCAGCTCGGGATTTTAAATAAACAAAAATTTTCAAAAAACCTTGTACAAAATCCAAAAAATAATAAATTTATTTGTAAAATATGTTTTTATGTTTTCTATCCGAGTTTGGTGGTAAGGATCGGGATCTTAAAAAAACAAAAAATTTCAAAAAACTCCTACAAAATCCAAAAAATAAGAAAATTTATTTGTAAAATATGTTTTTATGTTTTCTATCATTTTGGTCAAAACTGGAAAGTGTTTTGGTCATAAATACTTATTTTTATATTTTCAGTTCATTTTGGATTATGTCTAAAATAGCTCCCATCACAAACTGATTTTTTCAAAATCCATTTTCACAACTTTTTAAGTTCATTTAAACACATTTTGTTTAATTTTATTTTAAATATATTTTTCTTTTTTTTGGGGAGTTTTTGTATTCATATTTTTGGCCAGGATCTACCCAACTTGGGCCCAGCCGAGGGCCAGGTTATGGGGCCGACCATGCTTTCTTCCAGAGAGAGAGAGAGAGAGAGAGAGAGACCATGTATAAATGGAAAATAAGGGAACAAAGCTAGGTAGAGGAAAACAATGTTTATGAAACACCATACCTTCATTTGATTCCTTCATGCATGCATGGCTAACAAATGTTTTGTTTACTGTCACTCACTCTCAGTGCAGGAGGAAGTAACTGAGGAAACAGGGTCAGATTGGGAGAAGGATCTTGAATCCGGCAACCACAATAAGATAAAATCAGAGCCGACTTATCCCATCTCCCTTAAGGTAATCTGGGTGCATTTTCAATGTAAACAAATCATGCATGGAAAAAGATAAATTGTTCAAATTTAAGTCCACTTCCTATATCACTTTGCTAGTTTTCTCGAGGAGATTTCACTGTTTCCTCTTCTTATATCAATTTAAGTCCACTTCCTATGTCCCTTTGCTGGTTTTCTCGAGGAGATTTCACGGTTTCCTCTTCCTATATCAATTTAAGTCCACTTCTTATATCATTTTTTTTTTTTGTTCAAGTTTTATAGTGTTCTTTAAAAAAAAAATTCTTTTTGTAAGTGATCATTCTTTAGGTATTATTAGCAAATGGTAACTTCACTATCATCATCATCATCTTTAGAGGTTCATGCCAACTATTTGGGGTCCACTACATGAATCACGTCTCGCAATTTTACTCTATCAAGGTCACCTCATGTAAGACCATAATAAAATAGGATTCATAAAAAGTTAACAGTATAATTTTATATTGCTGCCTACCTAACACAACCTTTTGTTACCTAGGCTTGGGACATGCATGACCGGTCAGAAGGCCAACCAATGCAGAGTTTTGCCATCCTCTTAATAAATATAATTAATGACGGGTAATGATGTCAATACAAAATTACTGATGTCCCCAAAACAGGGGCATCAACTGTGAAGTTAAGCTACTAAATGACTAATCTAGGCCCCATATTACAAGCAGGCTAAAACTATTTGGCACACGTACACAACAATGAACAATTAAACCGTTCTTCAGCACAAGAGCAACAGACAGCGCAAGAGCAACAAACACTCATCTCCACCATCCAATTTCATTATAGATGCTGAAAGAAGAAATGTACAAATACTATTCATAAAATACAAGTATTGAGAACATACCACCTTATCAGCACTATTCTTATTTTTAATTTTTTTGGGGTAATTTTGTGTTGTTATTTTGTTACCAATAACATTTTCATTATTAGTCAATCTTAGTTATCATAATCATGACCAATGTTTTAAAAATCTGACAGTGGGGATAATTAATCACTCACCAGTTAAGCTAGCTTTGGAAATAGCCTAGCCCCATTTTGTTTATGAAAATTGTTCCTTGGTCGGAGGACTTATTTCGACATTTATATCCCCCAAGGTACAAAGCATCCATCTTAAAGATGGATGGTCCATCTAAATTTTTTTTAAATTAACTGTCCAAATATTTTATTCATAAAATTATTATATTTAATTTTAAAATTTATTTACTTTTTCATATTTATGATCTCCATGTTAGAGATTTTTTATCCTTAAAAATTGAGTTAAAAAATCTATCTTAAAAACAAAATTTTAAGAGGGGACTCATTTCTACATGAATACATATAAACCGTGTCCTTCTGCTTATTAACAATGTCTCTTTTGGTACAGTTTACTGATGTGAAATACCAGGTAGGGAAGAATGGAGGGGAAGAAAAATACATACTCCATGGCGTGACAGGGTCAGCGCAACCCGGAGAGGTTTTAGCTTTGATGGGACCATCAGGCGGTGGTAAAACCACTCTTCTCAATCTCCTAAGTGGGAGGGTAGAGAAGATTGTTCCTAGAGGAACAATTACTTATAATGACCTGCCCTACTCCAAGTCCCTTAAGCGCAGGTGGATAAAACTCTCTCTCTTTCTCTCATGCCTCTCGTATACACAACTAATATATCTGTATAGAATAAACTAACATTTATTTTGGGGTTTGGTTTGTATAAGGTTCCAATCTTAAACAATCCAATTAAGACGCACCTCCAAATTTTATCATAATATGTAATTTTGGTGTAATTTTTTTTTAAGATTATTTGAAATTCTATTTTCACATCTAATTATAAAATTTTAAATTTCAATAATGGTTAAAATCAAGTAGATCTATAAACTTATGAAAATTTTGAAAATAGATGGTTTAGATAATATGTTTCAAGATGTATTATTTTTGGGACTCAGAAATCTTTTTTTTTTGAGAAATTTAAGTATGGCCAATATTAGAGGAGTCAATTTCAAAATGGGATCATCGTTTGTCCCAACAATGGCCATAGCTTCTTCCCCAATTATCCACCAAACTCCTTTCTTCGTTGCTTCAAACCCCTCATGGGTCCAAGCTTTGCCCTAACCAGGCACACCTGCGTCTTACCAAGCCCTCTAATTTGGAATTTCCCTCTCATAGAGTTAAGCCCCCCAAAACTAGGGTTTTTCTCTCTTATCATGTTAGAGCTTTTGCTTCCTCAGCCACGTCGACAAATGCATACATTCTTGGAGCAGCGCTCTCTCTGTAAATTGTTCATGGCCACAGCCTAGGTTTCGCCTCCAAGATTAGGGCACTTTGCTTGAACCCCAGACCGTATGACATGACTTTTCTTCGAATTCTTCAGCATAATCTAGTTTGCACATTTGGGCCTATGTTCTTCGTCACTATGAAGGACAGACTAACTGGTTATTTCAACACGCCATTAACTGTGGTGAACTAATAAAGTCTTACATATTGCTTGAAATTGTTCATATTTTTATTCTATTTGTGGTTTTGAGATATGTTTTAGTTGGTGGGGGATTTGGTTGTGCAAAAGCATTCTTGCTCGATGCTATGGAGGACAGACCAGCAAGTTCAGGAATACCTCATTAACTATGATGAACTTGTTCACGAATATTATTCCTCCGTCTTTGATACTTTGGATGTGAGCCCGCTTCTTGTTTACCTTTTGGGGACTTTGGGTTCAATCCTTAACAATAGCAAAGGAAGTTATTAATGGTGGCTCAGTATATTGAGAAGAGAAATAAATTGGGAAATTTGGGGATATCGGATAGCGATCTGACATTCTGAATACTGGACAGCAAAAAATAGGATAACCTAAAAAACTCACCTATCCAGTGTTGGTTTATCGGACAAGAGGGTAGCTTGGGAAGAGGGGGGTGGGGGTGCCGTCCGTAAATTGAGACAAACATATTCTCATTTTGAAATTACCCTCCACCACCCCTTCTCCCCCCCCCCTCGCACCAAATATTGCATGTACATAATTTTTTTTTTTTTTTATATTCATATATTTCAATTTCAAGATAATCAATTAGAGGGTTTTTTAATGTTAAAACAACATTTTTCAATAGATTTTTGGTATGCATCTTTATACATTTTAATATTACAACTTTATATAAATTTTTTTCAAATTTTATATAAACTTTTTTCTTTATTTTAATATCTATCTTAAAGATGAATACTTGAAATACTAGCGACCGCACGGTAATAAATGAGTCGGCTGACTCACCAAAACCCTGTCCTTTTTCAAATTAGACAGCCTATAGCTACACATCCCACGAGGGCCAATCCTTATCTTCAACAAAAACATCTCTTCCCTTTATCTTATCTAAACGTTTTAGTTTTGTTATAGGATTCTTGTTTTGTGCATCTAGTGGGAGACATCCGATAAAACAGGAACGAGACAAAGAAGATTAGTATGGTCCTTGCGTATAGATAGTACACACAAATTGAGACATGGTCCAAAATTTTAACGACAGTTGTTTCATGCGAGATGGACCGTATTTGTACAATATGCAGCCGAGAGGTATAAGGCATCGATCTTAAAAATAGATGTAAATAGGTGGTCCATCTAAAAACAATTGTAACTAACGGTTTAAAAGTTTTTTTAATATCATTATTATTTCTAGTTTTCAAAATTTATTTATTTATCTCATATTTATGATCTTCATGTTAAAGATTATATATTCTCTAAAAATTAGAATCAAATTATATTTAAAAAATATATTTATTACCAAGCTTGCATTTCTATATTATGCAGGCTGGCCGCATGATAACCGTGTCCAAATTTTTTACAATGTTTTATTTTTGGACGCCGTTACTACTCGGGCACGCCCGATTTATGCAAGAGCCACCCACCGTCAAACTAAGTTGGATGGTAGGTGACTCACGTATATATGTGAGCATATGTAAATTTTTTCCTTTGCTTTCTCTTAATTAAGAAGATGAAGCATAGGGGTGGTAACCATTGGGTCGACCCGCCATCGCATCAGGTCGACCTGACTTGGGTTCAGATTTGGGTTGTATTTCTTGACCGGATGGGTCGGGTCCGGGTCCAGAACTAGGGACCGACATCAGGTCGGGATGGGCTTGGTCTAGGTTGACCCGAAACTATGTAATTTACAATGTATAGTATAGAATCTACTACTATTTCATGTTTTATAAACTATATGACGTGAGTTTTAACATAATGTACCATTATATATTAGGGATTGTTTATAAAGAGACTACCTATCTTTTATACATGGAGGTCACAATCATTATTGTCTCTTAAATTTCAAAATGAATGTTGTAACAATGTCGTTGGATAAATACAAAGTTCTAAAAAAATTAATTCTTGGACTTACTCACCCCAAGCCATCCAATTTGACATCTAATAAGTAAGAATTAATGTGACCTCCATGTACAAAAGATAAATTATCTCTTTATAGATAATCTCTATAAAATATCTTATAGCTCAAAGGTTAAAGTAATTCTTAAAGAGAAGGTTTATCTCATACTATTTTTTTTCATTGTTGAGAGTTAAGAGGCATAAATGTGTGTGTGAGAGAGAGATGAAAAATAAGCAATGCTTGATCTAACCAAGTCCACGTCCAGATCTGTGTCTAGCATGGATCTTATCGGGATGCGTTGGGTTGAGTCCACATCGAGGCCAACCCGACACAAATATATTAGTATAAATTATAAATTCGGACCCGACCCGATCTAGTGGGTCAGGTCTAGGTCACCTAGTCCAGGTCAAGTCCGGGTCTAACTCAGACCTAGACGGGTGGGGTCCGAGTCATGCCCGACCCATTCCGACCCCTAATATTGAAGCACGAAGCTGAGCTGGGAGTGAAGCTTGGCTTGAGCTCATTGGATAATACTATATACTTGATAATTTATTATTGACATTAACTTATGTAATAGGCCCCTAAATGGGCTGCGATTTCATGCAAGAGTTGTATAGTAATATGATGCAACAACCTTCAAAAACCATATTAGGGCTATCTGTTTGATCCAAAATTTAAAATATACGCTTCTAATGAACAATCAAAAGAAAGAAAAATTTGAAAACGCGACCTAGAAATTTTTTTTTTAGCCCAATTAATATAGGCCATCCATTTTGGTGAGATGTTTAGATCTAGGCCTTAGAATGATCTTTTTTCTTTCCAAATTTTGTAGACAATTATATTATCATTAGATTAACAATATTTAAAAAAAAAAATATGATTTTGAATTCATAAAGGCTTAGAACTTGAAATTCATCAAATAGACGGTCTAGATTCATTGTTGGAGGGAATTCATTTTGACATATATAGGGTGCAAATTGGTTTTTTTTCTTTTAAACTGAATATTGAGATAAAGAGAGTATATGTGTGAAATTTTTAGTCATACAACTACTACAAACATGATATTCTAGAAATGTGGAATATTACATAAATAATTGAATATGCATGTGTGTGGCATGAAGTTGACAAGTACTTTGTAGCCTGGAGGCATGGCTCGTAGCCGGCTTAGTTATAAGCTCGTTTGGCTTGTTTTCTTTATAGTTGGACTTGCTTTATTGATGTGGCTTCTTTATGGGCTTATTCAAATAAGGGATTGTGTACTATGAGAGTTCACAATTACTCCTAGCTATCTGATATCAAATAGATGGCTTGTATGGTCTATTTGCATATTCTTCCTTGAAGTAAAGATACCAAATTAGATCAATCTTCAAAATTAGAAGTCAAATATTTTCTACTCCTGTGGGAGTGTACTATCTATTTACTCTCTCAGGCAAAATTCACTCTAGGGATATCCATTTTGTTCCCTAGGGCGAAACTTACAATAAAATCTGGCAAACGACCTCAAAGAAAAAAAATAAAAAATTTGTCAACTCGAACTCTGGATGTGCCTGAGAAAAATATCATCCCAAGATTGCACTTGAACCATCCAATTTTTGGAGGGAATGATCTAGATGTTTACGAACTTAAAATATAATTTTTTTGAAAATAATAATTTAGTTATAACTAAATAGATTCTAAAACCTAAAAACAAAAAAAAAAAAAAAAAAAACCTACTTAAGTAAATGTTTTGCCTGAGAGAGCAAATGTATAGTATGCTATTGATGGAGCAAACTACGCGCTCAAACACTAATAAAAAAGAAAGAAAAGCCCAATAAAGTCATGCACATTTTCCGTGGCCTTAAACAAGTAAAATGTAAAGCTCCAGCCCAGCCTAAGCTCATGCATCAACGTGACCCATGACCCTATTGTAAATTATCATCATTAACATCATTAGAGCCTTTTTTCAAACTATTTGAGTAGGAACGGCTATAAATTATAATCAATTTTACGTATATTTTATTCTTGTGAAAATGTTAACCACTTTAACCTATTTCATTCCAGATGCTCTCCTTCGCTTGTAGCATAATGGAATTAGAGTCAGTATGGCTCGTACCTTTCACCATGACTTTCCCTAGAATTTTTAGGCCATGGATTCTTGAGATGTGTAGAGTTTGCAATAAAAGAAATAGTGACGAGAAGAGATAAAAATAGGTCAACACATCATATGCATGGTTCGGTAATGGGGCCTACATCCACGGAACATAAACCATTATCTTTTTCATATGAAGTACATTGGTTTATCAGATATTTATAGAGTTATAATTCTTGCTTTTTGGAAAACAAATCTCACTATAATAGTAATCCCACAAAATAAGAAACTCAATATAAGAAACTTAATATCTTGTAATATACAATCTCAATATCTGGTTTCTATAAACTCCATCACGCTCCCTCAAGTTGATGCGTAGATATCCATGGAGCCCAATATCTGCTTTTCTAGAACGGTCAAGAAGATAGAACTTAATCCTTCTCCATTTTAAGGGTTGATGACATACTTATCGAAGGAACCGTTAATGAAAAGCTGAGAGTACTGCTAGTATATGGTTTGTATGCCTCAGGAATTTGTGCTATTCGCACCTTTCATGTATACTACACTCTCGCGGGAACATACTAGAGATATACCCCGTCAATTACAAGACCTACTTAGGATGGATTTTCTCCATCTCAAGTTCTGAAAACCATAAGAATCACTAGATGAATACTTTCAAAAGAACAATTTGAAATTCTGTGTTTGTTATCATGTAGTAAGCCTCTAAAAATTGGTGATCTATTCATGAGAATATTTTTTTCAAGTTGCTAGAGAGTGAGATTTTTTAAATATTTTTTTATTGAAGTTAGTATATTTATTGAAAAGGTTACATACCTAAAATTTGGGATCATAAACTTACTCCTAGATTGAAGTTTACCTTTTACCTGATAGTATAGATAAACAATACATGCATGAGGGAGCATGAAATCTTTTGGCAAAACTAAATTTCTTGCCGGTTTATCGACAATGTACACGCCACGCACTTCAATGACCACAAATATTATTTGATGGAGTGACAAATATTAGATGGGCCCATTACAATCCTATCTCACGGGTTAAAACAATCATAGCAGGACCACAAACGCATTCATAGCAAAGTACTTGCCACATGGTATCAAAGGCTCAAATGGTTAGAAAATTACGTATTCGACATATTATTGATAGGTGCCTTTCTCACGCTTATAAAACCATAAGTTGTGACCTATCTTACACATCACTATAACTTAGGAATTTAAAAGATTTGACTAACACATGGTTTGTTATTTTTGTATCCTTTTTATTATAAATAAAATCATTTGTTTTTGTTACAACGCATATTTTCGCTATTGATCGGTTCAATCATGCATACTTAACACACAAATTACAAGGAAAAATAAAAAGAAAACCTGGGGAGAGAAAGATCATGATAATGTCGCGAGACATCAAGATTGACCTGTGGTGTTTTCGATATACAATCTTAAGAAGTTACATATTTGATAAAACTATAACTATCTTTGTTGATTGGATGGTGTGTGGGGCGTTACCGCCACCACCCCAATTCTTTTCTCTACTACATTATGGTTTCCAATCCTTACTGGTACCAACTTTTAAAAAAGCTAACTCTTTGAGCTATCGGAAAAGACAAGTAGGGGCTTGTCTTCCCTATTGAATTACCCAAAAAAAAATCGACCGGTAACGGGCAAGGGCTAGCCAAACATGGTCTGAGCTTGCCATGCCCGGCCTTGGGGCAACAGTTGTCCGCCTTGGCCGTACCCTCACGCCATATTTTGTTGCCCCGGCCTTAGTTTTGTGGGGCTAGTCTTACCGAGCTAGGCAAAAGGCTGCCCCATTGATACGTTATGACTTCACTCACTCATAAGATTAATATTTACAATTTTATTCCTCAAATGTTCTTCTTATTATTATTTCCAATTTTCTTTTTTTACAATACGTATTTTTCTTACTAACAAGTTCATTAATACATATTCTAACAAAAAAAAATACAAAAAATAGAAAAAAAAAGGATATAAAAAAATCATGATAATCTTAAATATTGGGGTGTGATGCGGTGAGCAGCAACACAAGCTATCCAATCACATATGAGAGAGGGCTTTCCATTCAAGATATTTCGTTATGTCATAATTCATGATCTTTTCTTTTTTTGTCAGTTCAGCTTCTAAGTGTCGAAATTTGGGAGGTAGTGACTAACTATTCAAGCCATCTGTTGAGGCATCATGTGTCATACATTCTTAAAATCAGTGCGCAGGGAATCTAAGTGAGAGAAAGAAAGGTAGGTTTGCGGGTATGGAGAGAGAGATTTAGGGTTTTCTTTGAGATGGAGAGAGGAACAGAGAAATTGGATTTGAAAAATTGTTATATGTGTGCTGGACCGCATTTCTACAATATGCGGTCCCATGATATAAAGCATCCATCTTAAAGATGGATGCAAATAGGTGGTCCATCTAAAAACAATTGAAACTAGCGACCCAAATGTTTTCTTAATAGAATTATAAACATAATATAATTAGCATTTTTAATTTTCAAAATTTACTTATTTTTTCATATTCATGATCTCCATGTTAGAGATTATGTCTTTAAAAATGCAGTCTAAAAATTCATCTCAAAAATAGATTTTTAAGAGGTGACTCCTTTTTACATAGACTCATACAAACTGTTTCCAGTAGATTTTATGTTTGTGAGAAAGTGAAAGAATTTGTAATTTATTGATGTAGTGAATATTTTATCTATTATGTATTTAAAAAGTAATATGATAAACTAATAATGGGTTGGGGCCTGAATGTTTAGTGTACTTAGTTAATTACTATTGCTCAAGTTCAAATTTTATCTATCCTATATTTAAAATTTTTAAGCTTTCTATATAGCCTAAAAGTGGGCAGATCTGAATCATTAACAGGGCCAAGCCAGGCCTTGGATGCCTATATTTAAAAAAATTTCTCATTAAATTTACCTAGAAAAAGGCAAGTCCGGGCCCGACACCGACCGAGCATAAACCATTAATAGGGCTAAGCCAGGCCTTAGTCCCAATTCTTCATATGTATGTGGTGAGATACCCCTCTGATTTCTTTTTAAGGCAATATTCAAAGTATTCTTAAAATTTCTCTTCATACTACAGTAAGTTCAAACACTCTTACAGAGGATTCTATCACTCAATGTAATATAAAAAGGAAAAGATGTGACCTGAGTGATTCTTGGATGAAATAAAATTGTCCAGTTTACTAAACAAAAAGTGACTTTTTTAGAAATGTAACCTCCATATCTAAATTTCTCCTGGCACTGATGTCCATTGTGGGGGATGGCTGTTCTTGGTCATGGACAGGATCGGGTTCGTGTTGCAAGATGATATTGTCTTTTCTCATCTCACAGTGAAAGAGACCCTCACTTACGCTGCCCTTCTTCGTCTTCCCAGGACCTTGTCTAAGCAGCAAAAAGAAGAGAGAGCCATGGATGTCATCATGAAACTTGGACTCGAGAGGTTCCTTCTTCTATCTATTTCCACTGAATAAATTTTAGTAGTAAATCCTTAGAAAAAGAGAACACAACTTTCCACTAAATTCTTCTTTATCACCTCAATTTCGCACGCAATGCGCACACAAGCACTCACTCATCACAGACACCTATGGGAGATTCACTAACATGGTATTACTGCTATGAAGTAGAAATATATCTCCTTAATGAAATGAAACCCATCCTTCTCCTGTAAAACATAATTAGTTGGAAATCCTTCTTTCAATTTCCAAGGGCAATAAAACATGAAGTGCAAAATATGAGGGCCAATAATGTACTGAGATCACTCATAATTCATTAATTACTCAAATAAGGATGATTTTTGTGGAATGTCTGCTCCTCTTTTATTCGAAAATTTCTTCCAGTAGATGATCAAAAGAATGAGTACATATTTATAAATGTTGTTTTAGAATTGAAGGAAGGATTATTTGTATCCAAAAATCTGGTTTATCATAAGAAAGCACTGACTCTCGGCCTCTGCTTGACACAGGTGCCAAGATACATTGATTGGAGGGGCATTCACTAGAGGAATTTCAGGTGGGGAGAGGAAGAGGGTATGTATAGGCAATGAGATTCTTCTTAACCCTTCTCTTCTCTTCCTAGATGAACCTACATCAGGGTTAGACTCCACCACTGCTCTAAGGATCATCCAAATACTGCATGACATAGCAGAGGTAAATGACAATTGAAATGGACTACAGGTATACAATTGTCAATTTCATAATAGTAGTTCTCCTCACTTATTTGTATTGAAATAAAGAGGTTTCAGAAGGATACCTAGGCTTGTATGGTTATGGAACATTGCACACACCTAAATTTTTTGTTAGGCTAGTTATTGCTTTCACATTGAAATTTTAAATTTTCAGGCTGGGAAAACGGTGGTCATCACAATTCATCAGCCATCAAGCAGACTATTTCACAAATTTGATAAGTTGATCCTTTTGGGTAAGGGAAGCTTACTTTATTCAGGGAAGGCATTGGAAGCAATGGTGTATTTCAACTCCATTGGGTGTTCTCCTCTTATAGCAATGAATCCAGCGGAGTTTCTAATCGACCTAGCAAATGGAAACATAAATGATAAGTCAATACCCTCGGAATTAGAGGATAAAGTTCTGCTTGAAAGCTCTCGAGTGGAAATAGTCGATGCAAAGCCATCACCATCAGATGTCCATGAGGTAATAATTTTAATGAGGAAAACCAAAGTCCAACTACAAATTTATACTTATGCTAGATCCATATATAACAAGAATAACACCTAAATTATCAGAGCAAAATGCTTCATTCTCTGTAATAGACAATGAGGAAACCACAATTTATCAAATCAATATGTTCAATTGCCCTTGGATTTTTATGAGCATCGTGAATGGGATACCACTTCTCCCTCCATGGATATGATTCTATGTACTTCTTGTCAATTCATTTCTATTCTCTTTCCTTTTATCCATTATAGATGGCATCCATTTTCTCCTTTTGTGCTGAATATCTACTTCATTTTCTGATGAGCTTTAACCTCTTGCAGTACCTAGTTGAAGCCTATGAAACCCGAGTGGCAGACTGTGAGAAGAAAAAGGTTCTAAAACCAGCACAGACGGACGATGACTGGAACAATTCGCACGCAGTATTACGATCAAGGGAATGGCGTGCAAGTTGGTGGCAGCAGTTCACGATCCTTTTTTGTAGAAGCCTAAAACAAAGACGCCATGACCATCTCAGTTGGATGAGAGTGACCCAAGTTTTGTCAACTGCTATTATACTGGGATTATTATGGTGGCATTCTGACAACTCTAGTACCAAAGAAGTACAAGATCAGGCATGTTCCATGTCTATATTTTAACTAGACTGACCTGTGAAACTAGAGAAACTATAATATGAAGTTTAGAACCATTAATTCAGAGAGTAAATTGTAATTCAATAGAAAATGAAGAAACAGTAGGGCATTGATTCATCATTGTAAAATAAAATGATGGGTGATGATGAAGAGTGGGACCGTATGTGTTATAGTGGGTTGCAATCATCTCCATCACCCTCCATAATTTCATAAGATGACGATCCCAATGGAACATTGTGTTTCAATAATCCATTGTAGAATAGTAGCATACATCCTTAAAGTTGAAATTTCGATGATGATAATGATGGCAATGATGATATTGATGATTAGAAACAAAAGAAACTGATATTTAATTTGCAAATTTGTACAATAATGTTAGTATATTCGAAATTATTTTATTGATTATTTTTAACGTATTTTCATAAGGAAATTTCCCAATGTGCAGGCTGGCTTGCTTTTCTTCATCGCTGTATTCTGGGGCTTCTTTCCTGTATTTACTGCCATCTTCACATTTCCCCAAGAAAGAGCCATGTTAGCCAAAGAGAGAGCAGTGGACACGTACAAATTGAGTGCATACTTCATGGCCAGAATCACAAGTGATTTGCCTCTCGATATGATCTTGCCTGTAATATTCTTGTTAATTGTGTACTTCATGGTGGGCTTAAAAGCTAGCACTTCAGCATTCTTCTTAAGCATGATCACTCTGTTTCTCAGCATTGTGGCTGCACAGGTAATGTCATCAACAAGAAAAAATTTTCTGATAGAAGAAGCAAAAGTAACTAATCTATTGTATTATGAAAACGATAGGTCAAGGGTCATCACCTTCTTCAGAACTTATAGGTGATGATTCGGAGCGATTGGCACCTAGCAATACGTTCATATTTGGGTCCCAGTCTCTCTTTATCCCTGCTGATAGTATCCATTAATTGCAGTAACCCCAATGGACTATGATTTCCATAGTCTACTCGATAGCATACATTTGAAAAGGCATTCTGAAATAGAAAACTGATAATTAATGGAAAACAAAATGGATAATTTACCTGGGTAAGGCCTTCATCAAATCAAGAACAGTAAAAATAATCTTGAGAAATTGAGGTTTTTATATCCAAGTGTAAGAGTAATCTTGTGTTATCAAACAGGGACTAGGACTAGTGATAGGAGCTAGTTTGATGGATGCCAAGAAAGCGACGACACTAGCATCTGTGGTTGTTATGACCTTCATGTTGGCAGGAGGCTTCTTTGTACAGGTTAGTGTCCTCACTCAACACTCTTTGATTAGCACCGAAACTCTTCCACAACCTTTTCAAAATACATGAAGTCCAAATAGTAAAGCCATGAGTTTATTTCATGTAATACATGAATTTTGATTGTATGTCTGGTTCTAGTGCGCATTTTGCACATGTGTGTATTCAAAAAACAAACTTTTAAGAGCCAAATATTTCAGAAAAAATAAATTAGGGCCTAGAAACTCAAATTCTATTAGAGAATATCAAAATATTAGTCTGGAAAAATTAATTCGAAATCTGAATGTCCTTGATTGTGAATATCTCCATAATAAAACTCTGAATTCCATTCATCTTCTATAAAAGCTGTACTTAATGGGCAAGACAAATGTAGTTCATGTGCACATGTTTAAGCAATGTTATAGTGTCTTTCCTTGGATGCGCATTTCCAAACAATGTAATGCTATGAGAAAATTCATAGAAACAATTTAATGATACAATAGACTGATGTTGTGGAATCTAATTGTATCTTGGGAAAGTAGACAAACCAGAACACTATGGAGCCCAAAGATTAAAAAAAATCATATAAGTGGCTTCAAAAAAGAGCAACATCCATTTAAGCTATATAAAAAATTACACATTGCCATTAACTTCACAATTAAAGTTTACTTTAAGGGAAAAATAGAAAACTTTTTTAACCATTTAAGCATGTTTTATTTTACATTCATAGGAACTAAAAATATGAAGTTACTAACTAACATCAAATCTATTGTTGCAGAATGTACCATCCTTCATCTCATGGATTCGGTATATTTCATTCAACTACCATACTTACAGGCTACTTCTCAAGATTCAATACAGTTGTTCAGGATCGAATTCATGCAAATCATTCTCTATTAAAGGGATTACTTTGGATTCTGGTGGAAGAGAAGCTTGTGCCATGATTGCTATGGTCTTCGGATATCGGTTCTTGGCATATATTTCTCTTAGGAGAATGAAACTCACATCTGTAACTTAGATTTAACTCTATATTCCGGGAACAAATTTTCCCATGCTATGGGATACACTATGCTATGATTTGAGGTATAATAAATTGGTTGATCACTTTAAGCATGTCATAGACCAGTTTAATGGTTAATATAGTGATGCCATATGCAAGAGAAAAACCTTTGGCAATAAATGCTTATCTTCAACTGGAAATATTTAACTCCATGAGGCACTTTGGTCCATGTTGTCTAAGATCAAGAATAATGCCCATACAAAAACGAAAAATGGTTTGATAGGGCGGCAGCCCTATCAAAATAACCAAAGCCTCACCTCTCATCGAAAATTTGTGATTCAAGCATTTACATCAATCATCTATTGTTTGAACATTATGGTTGCAAAATAAATTAAAATTTTAGGCTCTAAAAATAGTATATATTTTTCACAAATTGTCTAGACTGTTCATTTCATCCTAAAAATAAATGTTCATAGATCCGCACGATCTGTATATTTTTTAGTTTCAAAATTTATTGTCAATATTGGAAATTGATTTTAGAGCCCTGATAGAAATTTCTGTTGCCGAAAGTGTGTTCCAGACGAAGATTTGAGGTAACGCTTTATTTGGTTTTCATAAAGCCTAGGCCTTAGAGAAACTTCATCCCTACAAGTTTAAAACGAAGACACTTTAAAACGAAGACCCTATAGAATGGGTAGGGCTTTAACGTACAGACCCCCTTACCAATTTTGGTCGCAAATCTCATTTCCAATAGTTTTGTCCCTTTTTTATTATTTTTGGTCCCCAAAAGAAGAAAAAGAGAAAAAGAAACTATGGTTATTTTAAAGGCTACAATCAACTTATGTGCTATACATGTATCAATCATATGAAAAAGTTGAATAGTTTTGATAATAAATGAAATTTATTATCAATCACCCTATATGTGCCATATATAAGAAAAAGAAATGTCCTCAGACAAAAAAAACTAAGATCTCTTATTACACGTATGTTAAACAAAACATGAAAACAAATCATAGTTCTCAAAGCTAGAATAGTTGTGATGGTCCAATTCGTCAGATTGCCGACTAGTTACTTGGTTGGGCTAGACAAAAGTGAAAATGGGGCTTAGCTGAAAATTGGTTAAAACCCATGTTTCATCATTTTTAGTTAATGACGGGCCAGTTTCAACATGTTAGACCAACCTAACCAAATTGAACAATTTGCTTTATATTATGTGTCATATTTTTAGACTATTTTTCTGTTTTTTTTTTATATTTTAAAATCCAATCTAACTAGTTTAACAAATAATTGAACATATGTTGATTTGACAAGACCCCTCACCAAAACAGTAGCCAGTATGCTCTTAATAACTAAAAAATACTTACTCTATAATACTATACTCAAAGACATGTCAAACTTGAGCTTTAAGCTATCGATTTTGGGCTCAAACGGCCCATAAATAGCAGTAATACTCATAACAGTGGTGATGTTTGGACCGGTTCAAACATTTGAGGGAACCATTACTTGAAACTTCAAAGCACTTAATCTTGGTAGATGTTGGGGCAGGCAATGGGTTGTGTGGCCCAGATCGACCCGGTTCATCTAGCCCTAAAAAAGTAGGCCCTAGATCATAAACTGTGACCCTAGGGCTTGGTTACGGCCAGTGCCGGCCAACCCTCCTTTCTAATTTTTCCGTATTTTTACTTTTTGTTTTTTTCATTTGCTTTTGTCTCGGCCCATCCCTGGCCTTGTTAGGGCCAACTCTATGGGGACAAGGTTCGGGCCAAGGCCAAGATTTGCTTTGCCTTGGCTCTGGCCCAACCTGTTGCCACGCTTAGTCAATGTCTTACTGAAAGGAGCATTAAAAAGATGTTCCTACTATGTTGCTAAATTTGCTATTACAAAGTTCTCCATATTAGGCGTAGTTTTTCTCACAGATATGGATATACAGTCATGCTAAGAAATAGGAAAAGCCAAATAGACTAATTGCACATTTGTTTCACGTGAAAATATTTTTACGAAATAATTTCATCATGTAGCCAGATGTAGGAATATTTTCACATCAATTGGTCTTCATATATCTTTTCACACCAATTGACAACTAATTGAAGTGAAAATATTCTCACACCTAACCACATGAGGGAATTTCCTATATGAAAATATTTTCGTGCGAGTTAAACGTGCTCTAAAGAGGAATTGAGACCCAAATAAATAGTACCAAAAGATGAAATCTAGATAGCTATACTTGGCAAACCTTATGGCGATCAAACCTTCTGTCATCCGTAATTGAAGGTGAAGTTGATTAGGCAAAAGACACAAGAAAAGTAATGAATATAGTGGTGATCAATGCAAGTGTAATAAGACTATTTACCTTTGATACAAGGTGGTCACAATTCCTTATAATCATTTGATGTGAAATTTGATAGCTTGGATGTCATGAAGTTTGATTTCTTTTGAAGTTTGAGCTTGGTCAATATGATAATTACAACCACTCAACTTCACATACAATGGTCAAGATTATTGTGACCATCTTGTATCAAAGGTAAATGGTCTCATTCTATACTTCCCTTTTTATTCTTAGGCAACTGATTGAGAAGTTTAGAGTAAGGGTCAATAATTTCCCTTTTTATTCTTAGGCAACTGATTGAGAAATTTGAAATAAAGGAAAAAGACCTCCATATGATTTTTATTGATTTAGATAAAGCTTATAATAGATTACCTAGTGTTTTAAGTTGCTGGGTGTTAGAAAAAGAATAGACACTGCAATGAATTGGTGACGAATATATACGAGGGAGAACTAACTAGTATACGGACAACTAGAAGAGAGGCAAATGAGTTTTCAATTACAATAGCTATGTATCAGGGGTCAATATTGAGCTCATACATTTGTGTCTTATTTTTGGATGATTTAAGTAGGTATCGTAATGACTTAACTCTGATGCCATAGTTTTGCGATGAGACATAAACAATGTCAACATAAAGTTAGAACTTTAGAGGGATGCTCTAAAATCTAAAAGTATAAAATTAGCCGAACAAAAACATAGTATATGGAATGCAAGTTTAGTAATAATCGGAGTACAGGCAACAAAGTAATTAAGATTCATGGCCAAGAAATACAAAAAACATGTCACTTTTGATATCTTGGGTCGATAATTCGTGAAAAGAAAAAGATTGTGGAAGATGTCGCTCATAGAATTAGAGCTAGTAGGCAAAGTGGAGATGTGGAATTAAAATTTTACAAGGTCACCCCATACCAATGAAGCATAATGGAAAGTTCTATAAGACAGTTGTGAGACATGCTTTATTTCATTGGGTCGAATCCAAGGCAGAAAAAAAACAATATACCCATAGAATGAGGATAACTGGATGAGGATGTTGAGATGGATGCATGACAATACAACAGGGGAAAAAATTCAAAATGAATACATTATAGAGAATTTAAGTGTGGCACCAATAGGCGATAAGATGATAAAAAATAGATTAGATAGGTTGGTTATATGTGGTACATACCCAGTGCAACACCAGTTAGAAGGTGCAAGTTAGTTCAAGTGGAAGGCTAGAAAAGGGAAAGGGGTAAGCTCAAACGAACATGATTAGAAGTAGTGAAAAACAAAATGGAGACTAATGGCCTCATTAAGGGTATAGCCCTTAATAAAGCAGAATGGTGGACCAAAATTCATATGGCGGGTCCCAATTACGTGATAAAAGACTTTGATGATGATGATGATATATATATATATATATATATATATATGGGAAAGGCTGAGGTTAGTCTACTAGCTCACATATTCGATATGGACCATTGGGCTCATATGTAGCTGTGAATTAATGGGCTACCCTGACCTACATGAAGCACACTAATTATATTTAATGCTCAATGTAGGTGATGTTACACTCCATGTGGTTAATATCACACCCCCTCCCAATAACAAAAAATACCCTTATTTAAAAAAAAATACTATATATAAATCAAATAT